ACATTTGGACCCTCCCTTCCCCTGCTCTGCTCTCCTGGGCACCCAATGCCTACTGGTAGATTGAAGAAGGGGGAGAGAAGGACTAGAGAGGTGGCAGAAGCTTCCAGACCAAACTTCTCAGAAAGTGGGAGCTGGTCTTGGGATTTTCCCCATCTCAAAGCCCAACCACCTTAGCCTAGACCTCCCTTCAGCCAAACCAGATGAACCCCTGTCCCAGCCAAGGTCATTCATACATAGATTCATTAACCATTTATTAGATTCCTTACCCACACCAAGCAGTAAAGCACCCAACAGATCATCACCACCCATCTTGCTAAGGGTCCTAGTTAAGGGTGGTGCGTTGAGCATACAGAGGTCGGGGGAGGCATGACAGAGAGGCATGGTTTGAGCCTTGCCCCAGAAAATGGCTTGGAAATTGGCAAGGCAAGGACATTTCACCCAAAGGGACCCCCTGTGCAAAGGCATGGAGGTATGACAGTGTCTGAAGCACATGACATGGGGACTGTAGAGCCAGGAGATGGGAGAGCTGGATGGGGCACAGGTTGTGGAGGGCTGGGGTGCCAGCATACAGGGTCTGCACTTTGCCATAAGTTGACGGGCAGATCTTTGAGCAGCAGGAGGATGTGGTCTGATCTACACTGGAGAAGTCTCTCTGGAAGTGAGTGGGGAAACTCAAGGGGAAAGATTAAATGCAGAAAGAGCAGGGTTGAGGCACAAAGAGTGAGCACAGAGTCCATCCACTGAGCCACAGGCAGGCCTCTATTTAATACTAAAATCCGTGGCAGAATTTTTAAATATTCTTATCAGTGGCTCCCCTCCCTGACCCTGTAACTTGCTTTTAGATTAACTCTCTGACACCAATTTCTGGCAAAAGAATCACGGCCCCCTCAAGGATTAACAGCTGGACCCTTCTTGGCTGGGAGACAGACTTGCGGCTTCAAACCCCACTGCAGCTGCAGGAGCAGGAGGGAAGCCATAAATGAGGCTCACCGTATGCAGGGCAGGCAGCAAGCCCTCTTGGAGGGGCCAGTTGTCTGAGCCTCGCATACAGCTGAAGAGATAAGAACCTACAACTGCGGCCACAGGAAATAACAAAGCAGTGACTGATCTGGGAGCCGCTGCACAGGGCTCATTACGCGCTTGCCAGCGGGGCGAGAGACCCTTATCAGGGAGAAAATTGCATCAGGACTCCTGAATTACTAGCGATTGGAAGCAGATTTCTTGGGACGCACTTTGTTAGATACCTAATGAGCGGGATACAGGCGGGCAGAGCCCAAAGCCGGCGGGGCGAGGGACAAATGTCTTTGTTAAACAGAATTTGTCAGTTTCCGCTCCAGGCTCCCTGGGGAGGGTTCAGGGCCAGCTAATTGAATTAAGAGCGTGTGTGCTCCAGCAAGAAGGCTCAGGGCGGGGCCAGAGGCGGGGTGGCCGGAAGGCGGGCACTTTCAGCACCAAGGACAGCAGGTGCAGCCTGGCTAGTCTGTAATTGCCGGGGCAGGCTGGAGCTGCTGCATGTTGCATGATCAGGGATCTAGGGGATGGAGTGGGTCAGGGGGAGGCAGAGGATGTTGCGGGGAGGAGGGAGACAGGTGACTTAAGAAGCCTCAAGCCTGTGATGCCATTGGTCTGGTCTGTCTCAACAGACCCCACTCTGCTGGCAACAGTGAGGGCTGGGAAGCGTGAGGAAGGGGTGTCTTCCCCCCACCGTGGCACTCACATGCGGTGTGGGCAGCTGTGGCAGCACAGGGAATGGTGGGCTGGGTGCTGAGTCTGAGCTAGTGCTTGGCCAGGCATCGCTTTGAGCTTTCAGAGTCGGTCTCCAATTACAGCCCTAATGAAGCAGGATGTGCTGCAGCCACGGAGCCACAGAGCCAGGGGCCACTTGTCAGCCCCAAGCTGCCCCAGCAGGCGGGGCTGGGCTTACCAAATAAAAAAGCAAATAAGCAGGCTGTGGGGTGGGCCCGGATCCCTAACCCCGCCTAGAGGAAAGGAGGAGAGCCGGGCAAGCCTGGACCTGAATAGGGAGAAGCTAGTCCCCAAGGCTTCACCGTCTCCCCATCCTCCATCCTGACCACCACCCTAGCAGCCAGCCCCTCCCTGTGGTCTCAGACAAGCTCCCTCTTTGAGGAGTGAGGAGATGAGGGCATAATCCCCTCCCCAAAACGTGGGCTGATTGAAGCTGAGAGCCAGGAGGGGCCATGTTGGCCATAAAGAAAGGGAACTATTAGGGGAATTTAGGCCCTGTGGGAGGCACTGTGTCCTCTTGGTGCCCCTCACCTTATGTGACAAAAGCAGCTGTCTTGAGCCTCCCCTGTAGGGTCTGCGCTGTTTAGAGGTCTAAAGATTTTCCTATGGGGCAGAGGACGGGAATGTGCGCAGGAGACGGGCAGGGTGGGAGGTCCTGGCATGAAGCAGCCATGGGAGCAGATCTTGGCCAGGGCCAGCCCCAGGGCAGGGCAGAGCAGAGCCACTGGGTCTGGCAGCTGGGATGGGAAGGGCAGAATAGACTTTAAAGTCTCGCCTCCCCTCCTCAGAACACTCCCCTGCCCACGAGAGATGGATGGGGTGAGGGCACTGGTCTGGATCGAGGGGTTGGTCTCTTCTTTATTTTAGCTTTGTTATGAAATTAAATGAATTAGGCATAGTAGAGTTCAGAATCCACAGAAAGGTACCTGCTGAGTGCCCAGCTCTGACCAGGGGCTCAGGAAATGTCAGCTCTGGATCACGGAGTTGACCCAGCTGATGCTGGGGCCACGCAGGTGAACATCCGGGAGTCGGGCTGTGGGGGAGGGGCTCCCTCGGCAATTGTCCCTGCTTTCAGTACTGATGGGGGCACCGCTGGAGACCTCTGCCTTGATTTCATTACTTCTACTTCCTCCCCTAACTGGATTAGATGGCAGTCTATGAAATCCAGGGCACTGAGATTGGCTTTCTGCCTGGAAATGAGGAGAAATGTCATTATGGGTCCCGAATCAGCATCTCACCCCAGCCCCAGGGACCATGTGCTCAATGGGGAGGTGGTCTTTGCCCTGGCTAGTTCTTCCTTCCTTAGTTCTCTCCTGCGTCCGTCTAGCCACCCATCCATCTAATATGCGTTTTATAGCTCTCCCTCTGCAGCTGGTCTGGTGTGCAGCTGTTCTGAGCAGGAGACAGATGTGGTACTTTTTTCTGTCTAAAACACACAGACATCCAGAAAACTCCAAGCCATCTGACTCGGATGCTACACTGGGTGTATTCATGTCAGTGGGGAGCCTCCGAGTGAATCCCGCCCTCCCTAAACCAGAGCTACCAAGAGGAGCAGGTGGGAGAGACAGCCAGGCCGAGGCCCACAGACAGAACAGACCCAGAAGTCCTGGCCATGTAGTGCAGTAGGTGGCCTGCCAAAGCCAGCCTCGGGTGCACCCAGTGTCTCATTCTTCCCGTTCCAAGAGTCTTATCATAGCTGCTTTCTCTGTGGAATTGTCTATTTTTGTGCCCACTGCATGGGGGTTGGGGAAAGATGGGGCCCAGACTGGACTAGATGCCTCTGTGTACTTGTATGACTGTCCCTTCCTCTACGGGCACAGCCTGAAAAGGTTTCATATTAATGAATTTCTGCACACCAAATTTTAATTGAAAAGGGCATAAGGGAGTAATTGTTTAAAGGATCCCAGTGGTAAAGAGAAGGACCCAGTCCCAATTCCTCCAGCTCATCCTGGTGGCTTTTCATACAGAGTATCCACTCAAAGAGAGGCCCGCCTGCGCCCATCCTCACTCTGGTTGTTCGGGCACCTCTAACCCTGAGCACATCTGTCCTGGCTGGCACTGTGCCATTGCTCTATTTATTTCTAGCACAATACTCCAGACAGTGGAATAATTTGTCTGTGGCCAAGAGAGGATTCCAACAGCTGATGTAGGGTGGGACTGGCTCACCTTGGAGGTTCCTATAAACCCCCAGACTACGTGGTTCTTTGAAAATGGGCATGTTTTAGAGATAACCACAGATTTCAAACAGATCTTTAAAGTAACCTCTCCCCAAAGGGAGCCTGGACGTGTCCCCAAGCACAAGGAACTTAAAGTTTTGTTAGAAAAATAAAAACAGCAAGCAAGTCTGGAATTAGAGAGCAGTGTGAAAGCACAAGTAGCCAAGGGCTGGGCAGGAAGAACCCAGAAAAGCTACAAGCAAGTGTGAGCTGAGGCATCAGGGCTTCCCGGGGGGCTGGCATGTGAGTGGGGTCAGGTTTTGGACACGCAGAGATGACAGCGAGAGTCAGGCCGAGGGAGAAGGAGAACAGGAAAAAGAACGTGGAAGGAGACAGAGACTCAACGGAGTACAGAAAGAGGAGAGTCTGTTTAACGAGTGATGAGATCTCAGCATGATAGAGGAGATGAAATGGAAAATAAGTCTACACAGCAACGGGTGTCAAAAGAGATTGGGGTTTTAGGAGCTGTTGTTACTGCACCGAGCCTGGGGTCAGAGATGGCATCGTTCACTTATTCTTCCAGCAAATATTTATCGAGTGCCTACAATGAGCCAGACGCCTGCATGGGGCTTACATCCTAGCGTGGGCATTGGAGGAGGGAGGCAGTTAACAAGTAAATCCATTTTTTGAAAGTTAATTTTCTGGTAGAGCACGATGAACACAGGAAAATGGGATAATGTGGGTTTGGAAGTGGGGTTACTTTAAGTAGAGTGAGCCTTTATTGCAAAGGGCAGGGCCTCCTGAGAAGATCGTGTCTGTGCTGAGATCTGAATGATGAGGAGGGGACAGCCATGTAAAGATCCATGGGACCTCCGGCTGGGGAACAGCAGATGCAAAGGCCCTGAGGCAGGAAAATGCTTGACTCGTTGGAGGAATAGCAAGCTTGATGCTATTAGGGCTCCGTGAACAACGGCAGGTGGTGGGAGGTATACAGGGCTGGGCGTGCAAGGCTTCCTGCGCCATGGGGCAGGGGAGGCTTAGAGTGTAGAAGGTGTACTTATGGCCTGTTTGAAGTTTCCCTGCACCTTCTCTTCTCAGAGGCCAGAAAACTTCTTGACATCAAACAACAGCAAGGCTTTGCCCACCCTGGACCCAAAGGTCCTGGACGAGAAGCTGGGAACCATCCGAGAGTCCTGGTCCGAGGCCACGGTCAGCCCCATAACGGGCTCCAGCACGCCCAGCTCTCAGGGGGCAGAGGAGGAGCCCCCCATGCCAGAGACGTACCGCGATGTGGTGAGTGTCTCCCCCCAGGCAGGGAGGGCCGGAGCAGCGACGGGGGCGTGGGGACTCGTCCATGCCTCGGGTGGCAAGTAGCCCGCCCTCCGGCCACGCTCTGTGTGCGAGTCGCCCCACAGACAAGCCGGTGGGAGGGGAGGCTTCTCCCTCTTCCAGTCTCCCCACCTTTCGGACGGACCTTCCACACGATTCTCCAAGCAAACCGGTAGAGCGCTCGCAAGCCCGGGTTCCGCCTACTCGTGTAGCCGTCGCCTCAGAACTCCCTCAGCAGCATGGCCCCTGCGCAGTGGGAAGCCCCTCTAAGAGATTCGTTTTAACTTATAAAGGGGAAAATTGGGGTCCAAAGCAAAGAGGACACCAGTGTCGGTTAGAGTCCGTGTCCTTGATCATGGGAGCTGGCGCGTCTCCCTGTTGCCACCAGTTAACCAGCTGCTCAGAGGGCCGGGGGAGGTGGTCCAAGTGGTGTCTTAATTTGGTGAGGGTCAGTGCTGGGTCTCCAGCCCTTGATGCTAAAGAACAGGCCTCCAAAAGTACAGTCCAGAGTCCCCCGCTGAGGTTCCACCAGTGACCACGGGTGAACTGAGGCGCGGCTTCCTCCCTGCTTCCGCAGCGGGCCTGTGGGGGGCCCCAGACAAGGCCGCCTGCCCACAGGGAAGCCCGGGGCATCCTCCTCTCGGGACCTGCCCCTCTCCACTGACAGCCTCCTCATCTTCCCCTGGCACTTCTGCCCCTTTCTGGAACACGTCCCATCAGACGCATAGGAGGGGCACCACAGCACTCGTGGCCACCACGACCCCCGCCTCTCGCCTCTGCCCTTTGGGGGAACAGCTCAGACATAAGCTGCGTTGAAAATAAAGATACAGCTCTTGTCTTTGGAGCTTTTGGGCCGCACGAATAAACTAATTCCTGCTGCCCCCACATCCTGGCCATGTGACCTCCCTTCTTGCGCCTCTAACAGGAGGCCGTGCAGGAGAGAAAGGCGCAAGCAGACAGCCACGGAAGAAAGAAAGGGAAGGTGCCATCAGGGAGAGAGGCAGGCAGGAAGGAAGGTGGAAGGTGAAGGCGTCCCTTCCCGGTCACACCCCTGCAGCGGGCTCAGCACAACCCGCCTGCCCTCCCCACCCAGCTCGGCCTCCGGGGAGGGGCACCCAGCCAGGCCCCAGCCCTCACCAATGCAGCCCCCGCGCCCCCAGGACGCAGACCTGGCCCCTGCATCATGCTGCCTCCGAGAGCAGGGGCCTCGCACTGCCCGGCTAGGCAAGCCTCTCACCACGGCAGCCACCTGGGCACGGACATGGCGCGATTAGGGAGGGGGCAGTCCCCAGTCCCCAGTCCCAGCGCTGCATGTGGCAGGGGCTCCCTGGTTTAGAGTCTGCTGGGCAAAGAACCCAGGGTGCGAGCTGAGGTCAACAGGTCTGGACTATTTCAGAGGAATTAGATACAGATATCTTAATACCATGATTTGTTTGGGGGAGATGCGACAGAAAGGGTTGGAATGGGTCGGGTGGAGTCTTCTCTGTGTTTATAAAGCGTGATGATGGTGATTATGGAGGAGGGAAGAAGAGAAAATAGAGCTGAGGAGGAAACAGTCCTTAAACGTAGAATGGATCTAAGAGGTGAGCCGCTTAAACAATATTTTTAGTGTCAGAAAGAATGTTATAATAACATGGATTGTGGGTCTTGATTTTCTCTTAAGGATTAAACTGAAAGAGACGAGACTAGACTGCAGCTTGGGAAGTCAAGGTTAGCCATTAGGAGGAAGTGGTTTTGAGCAAGAGTAACCCTGGGAGGGGCAGAGGGGAGAAAGGAGTGGCCCGGGGGCACTGAGAGGCACTGAGCGATGACCAGGGGCTCAGGCCGCCCCTGCCCACGGACTGGCAGAGGCGTGGTGAGGGGGGGCTAAGGGAGAACTAACTCAAGCTTGGCCCCCGGACATCGCCCCCAGCAGCCCCATCAGTGCTGTCCCCTGGTCCCTCTCCCCTCCCTCTCACTGGGACCTGGCAAGGCCGCAAGGACCGGCTGCTAGTCCTGGTCTGCCACCAGGTTAGGTCCACTCAGCCACCACCACGCAGCCCTTGAACTAAAGAGCCTCTGGGCTGCCCTGTCCAGACCTGGCCCAACACAGATGTTGGTAAATGCTTGTTGGTCGACTTAATAAAACCTCTGGCTGGACAGCAAGAGCATTAGAAAGAGCCCTAGGCTGATCCCCTCATTATACAAAGGGTGGCGATGAGGTGGCCCAGGGACGAGAAGGGACGGACCTGCCCCAGGCTTCTTGGTGCTGCCTCGCGTGCAGCCGAGGGAATGCTGGGCTCTGCAGGGGCCTGCGCGCTCACCCGCCTGGCACCGTCACGTCCTCGGACACTCGCGGGGTGTTCAGGGCACTGGGCCTGGCCCTCTCTCTCCCCTGTCCCACTTTGCTCCAGGCCCGTCCTGTCCCTCCTTGTCCCTGACTCTTGGCTCCATCCCATGTTCACCCTCCCACCCTGGCTCCGTCTCCCCGAGCATCATTTCTCTCTCGTGTTCTCACTGGGCTTCTCTCGATCTCCTCAGCTCTGCCAGGCCTGGCTATTCCCGTCACGGACACTTTGCCTAGTTGAGTCCTAGACACCCAGCCCCCAGCTCCAGCTCCAGCTCCAGCTCCTACCCACCGGCCAGAGCCCAGACACGCACGGTCACACGGCCCGTAGAGCCTGGTAACAGGCAGTGGAATGTGGGCAGGTAGCAACCGCGCACAGCTCCGTGACAGTCACAGGTAGTAAGCAGTGATGGGTCACTGTTCCATAGCAATCAGACAAAACTACATAGCAATGGATGAACTCAAGCAACCAAGAGGCACAGTGACAAGCAACAGAGTGTGGCCATGGAGCCGCGGAGTGTGGGTGCATAGCAGTGGACCAAGCCACAGAATGACGTCACACAGCCCCGCATTGCAGGCGGATGCCATGCATGGTCACGGAGCACAGACAGGGTCACGGAACACAGACGCGGTCACAGAACACAGACCGAGTCACGGGGCAGCAGAGGACACTTCAATAGCACTGGGACACACTGGGTAGCAATGGCATGGTCACAAAGTGTGCAGCTCCTGGACATGTGGTCAGGGACTGGTCACAGCAGCAGAGCCTGGGGATGGAGCAGTGGCCCAGGGACATGCAGTGGCTGTGCAGTAACCAAGCTATTAACTGCCTCCCAGGATCATGGCCACATCTCCGGCCCTGAGCCTCCCTGCGTCCCTGATTTCTGTATGTCTGTATCTAGTCTCGTCACGCATCCGCCCAAGCCCGAGGAACAGTTTCGTCTCGGATTCCCTTCGCAGCCTACTTTACCTTACTAGGAATTAAACACGGTCTGGAGAAAGGAGCACCTGGGGAGTGGAGGCAAGAGCAAGGGGGATGCGGTCTGTGCCCCTCTGTGCGCGAGCTCCCTGCTGCCCTGGGGCTGCAGCCCCAAGTGTGCCCTTTGACCTGCCTCCATCCCCAGGCTGCCACCCATCCACTCCACGTCTCGGGACGCCTGGTTTTAACACAGGCCTGTCAAGTGCCATGCTGTCAACATGGTGCAAGGCTCCGGTCCTGGATGGGCCCACGGAGGGCGGGGTCCCACGGGTGTGGTCTTGGGTCAAGTGCAGGGCCTCGGGCAGAGGGAGAGGAAGCCTAGACGTCCCTTCTGCGCGTCTCGGAAGCCTTGGTAGGGCTTTTGAGTGCGAAGTGAGGTGTTAAGTGTCGTTCCGAATGTGGCAACTCTCCACACATTAATAACCTGTGAGCCTCTCCCTGTCACCCCCCAGACACCCTGAGCCCACCTCACACTGAGCCAGACCGTGTCTCCTGACACCAGCGTGAGAGCAGGGACGCTGGGGGGGGCTCCGGGCCATCTCTAGCCAGGCCCACTTCCACCACGAAGGGCTCCCGAGACACCTGCGTGTGTCCGGGCTCCCCACTCCTCCAGCCGGTCAGAGCACCAGGACTCCCCACCCTGCCAGGGGCCCAGCCCTGTGTCCAGCTGGGGGTGGGGACCAGGAGGAAGAGGCCAAGGCCCCCGCTCTGGAAATCCCCCAGCAGACGGGAGCAAGCCACAGCCCGGGAGACGATGAGTGGCGCAGAGGAGGTCCACAGTAAATACCAGGGAGGGACAACCAGGCAGAGGGGCACGGTTGAGACTCTGCATCTTTTTAGCTGCCACACTCAGCCAGCATGGCTGGGCATGCCTAGTAAACCCTGTCGGTAAAGAAGGGAGAGGGAGAAAGGCAGGGCCAGGAGGGCTTCCTGGAGGAGGTGGGCTATGCTTGCGCTTTGGCTAAACAGGCAGAGGTGCTCAGACACTGTTCAAGAAGTGTGCGTCCAGTGCTGTTTCCAGCGCAGAAATGCAAGCACAGAGCTGCTCCCAGCCCCGTCTCCCTCCCTCTCCTCTCTCTCTCTCTCTCTCTCTGATTCCTGTTGCCCTCCCTCCCTCCGCCTTGCTCAGAGGAGATCCGTGGCAGACGTGAGGGCCCTCATACCAGGAGATGAATAATTGACAAGGGTTGTTAAAAGATTCAGTGGAGTTTTTGCAGCCTCCTCACGCTGGAATAACTCATTCCTTTCATTCTCTCTTTGAAAGCCTCCCCCTCCCTCCACTGTCTCCTCGGTCCTTCACCCCCCCTACTTGGACCGCTTTTGTTCCTCTCCTTTCTTGAGTCTGCTGGACCCGAGAGCCATCCCTCCCTGGGTCCCTCAGTTTCCTTAAGTCCACTTCCCCAGCTGCCCTCGCCCCAAGGAACCTGCCCCTCAGGGCCCTGGGCTGACTCCAGCTGAGGGGGCCCGTCTCGTGGGTGCAGAGAGGAAGGCAGAGAAGCTGTGGCTTCTCCCAAAGCCCACTGTGGTGGAGGTGGGGGGCTCAGGCCCCAGAAAGGCAGGCCCCCCAGCCCAGGGACCCCTCCCCTCCAGGCAGGCAGAGCCCTGCTGCTCTGCTACCCCTCCCCAGGGTGCTCGCAGACTTGGTGGCCCTATACCTTG